AGTATGTGAAGGTACCATATACAGTTGAGAAAAAGGTGTATTCCTTTCTATTCCTACTTAATATTTTCCAGAGGTCTATCATATCAAACTTTTCTAAAATTCTGTCCATCTCCTTAACTTCTTTTTTTAAAAAAATTTATTATCTGTTTATTTTTAACATTTATTTTTTTCCAAAATTTTGAGTTCCAAATTCTTTCCCTCCCTTTAGCCCCTCACACATCCGTTGAGAAGGCAAGATATCAATTATACATGAAATCATGCAAAACATATTTTCATATTAACCATATTGAAAAAAAGCAAGAAAAATAAAGAAAGTAAAAAAATTATACTTTAATTTGCACTCAGAATTCATTAATTCTCTCTGGAGTTCATATTTTCTTCTACTTTTTTTAGTCTTTTGACTTTTTAATTGTTTCTTGATGTCTCATGGAGTTATTAGCTTCCACTTGACTGATTCTTTTTTTTTTTTTTGAGGAGTTATTTTCTTCAGTATTTTTGTACCTCTTTTGTCATTTGGCCAATTCTGATTTTTAAGGAGTTATTTTCTTCAGAATTTTTTGTGCCTTTTTTTGGTGCCAAGCTGTGAGTTCTCTTTTCACAGTTTTCTTGCATAGTTCTCATTTCTTTTCCCACTTGGCATTTCTGGCTAGTGCCTACCCCCATGTCCACAACCTTGGAGTTCATCATTTTCTCTGGCTTAGAGAAATGGCTTACTGTGACTTTTTGTTGGCTTTTCCTTTCAGAATTCAATTTGGCATTTTCTGTGGTCATTTTGTAGGAGAGGTTTTGGAGGAAGTTCGGCAGTTGTGACCCTTCACTCCACCATCTGGACTTCTTTCCACCTTCATGAAGTTTTAATTCACTCCTTTGTCCAAGCCAAAATGTAGTTTTCTAGACTTAGAGTCAGGAAAACCAGAACTGACATACTAGCTCTGATAATTAATAGTTGTCTGACAATAGGCGTCACTCAATCTTTCTGAACTTCTATTTCCCTATTATTTATTAAAATAAAAATAATAAATGTAGGACATATACAGAACTATATATCAAACCCCCCAGTATCTCTCTTGAGCTTCATTCCTGGATCACCAATTCTCTTTTGGAAATTTCAGAGTAGATGACCAGGTGACATATGACACATGTCCAAAACTGAAGCCATTATCTTTTTTCCCCAGGCCCTAAGCACCTAAACTTCCCTATTTCTGTTCAAGAATGCCATTTCAGGGTCTTCTTGCCCCTGCATAGATTACTACAACATCCTCTTAATTAGTCTCCCAGCCTGCAGTCTCTCATCACTTCAGTCCATCTTGCACACTGCTGATAAAGCAATTTTCTTTAAGCACTGATCTGGCCAAGTGATCCCCCTACTCATCTAACTCCAGTGGCTTTCTGTTACTTCTAGAATACAACATAAACTCCCTTGTTTAGCTTTTAAATTCCTCTGCAACCTGGCCCAGACCTCCTATTTCCACCTCATTGTATATTGTTCCCCTCACTCTCACACTCTGCAATCCAGGCAAACTGCCATTTTTTCTTTTCCTCACTCAAGATGCTCCATCTTCCATCTCTGCCTTTTGCTAGGTTTCTCTGATGCCTGGAATGCACCTGCTCCTTATCTTTGCCTCCCAGAACCCCGTTCTTCCTTTAAAATGCTGCTCAAGCACATCTTGTGCGTCATTTTTTCTGATCTACAAATATGTGCCTCTCCTCCAAAACCACCTTATATTTAACTTTTGATGTTTATGTATGCACACACACACACACATTCATATTTTTAAACATTAATTGTCTCCCTCATTAAAATATAGGCTTATTTTGAATAGGGATTATCTCATTCTTTGTACTTGTATCCTCAGTGCCTAAAACATAGTAGACACTTAGTGAATACTTTTTGATTGGTTATTAATTGCAAAGGGTTGTTGTCAGAGAGTTAGGTGGTGAAATGCACAGATTGCTGGGTTTAAAGTCAGGAAGATCAGAGTTCAAATCCAGCCTCAGATACGCACTAGCTGTATGACCTTGGACAAGTCACTTAACCTCTGTTTGCCTGAGTTTCCTCATTTGTAAAATAGGAATCATAATGAGAAATCATCCTCAACTTCTCACTATCTCTCACCTTCAATGTCCAAGCTTGTCTGTTTCACCTTTGCAATATCTCTCAAATACGCCCCATTCTTTCCTCTGACATTGCCACCACTCTGGTACAGGTCCCCGTCACTTCATGCTTGGATTATCACAATAGCCAACTTTGGATTTTCCTGCCTCAAGTCTCTTCCTATTCCAATCTATCCTCAATTCAGCCACTAAAGTGATTTTCCTAAAGCACAGATGGCAACCACCTCACCTCTTTACTCAATAAACTCCAGTGGCTCCCTATTGCTTCCAAGATCAAATACAAAATCGTCTGTTTGGCATTCAAACCCCTTCATAACCTGACTCCCTCCTAGCTTTCCAAACTTGTAATACCATCCACCCTGCCACATATTCTTCGAACCAATGACACTGGCTTCTTGGCTGCTCCAAAAACGAGACCCTCCATCTACAGGCTCTGGGCATTTTCTCTGGCTGTCCCTCCACACCTGGAATGTGCTCCCTCTTCAACGCCACCTACTGCCTTTCCTAGCTTCTTTTAAGTCACAATTAAAATCTCACCTTCTACAGAAAGCCTTTCCCAGGCCCCCTTAATTCTGGTTCCTTCGCTCTGTTAATGATTTCCTATTTCTCCCCTGTGTGGCTTGTTTGTATATATTTGTTTGCATGCTGTCTCCCCTATTATATGGTAAGCACCTGTATGGTAGGGACTATTTCCTGCCTCCTTTTTTGTCCCCAGTGCTAAGTCACATAGAAGGTGCTTAATAAATATTTATTCATTGAAAAATATTATTTACCTCCCGATGTGAGGATCAAATGAGATAATATTTGTAAAGCACTTATTAACACAGTGCCTGGCGCATAATAATCATTATATAAATGATAGATAGCTATGATTAGAATTATTAGCATTGCCATTATTATGATGATAATCAGATGAAATAATGGATATAAAATACTTCGCAAACTTAAAATTAAAGTTCCCAGAAATGTTAGATGTTGTTATCCCTACTTTGCCCCATCAGATTCGAGCTTGTATCAGACTTAATTATATATGCTTCTGATTTCCCTCATTAGATTATAATGTTTGAGGTCAAAGACTATGTTGATTTTTATATTTTCTATTTCAGCACCTAGCATAGTGACTTGCATGTGGAAGAGCTTCATAAATGTCTGGATTGAATTGATTTATCAACCTTCAGTGTAATAATAACTTTTGCTAAGTGCTTTCTATATAGTTTTGGGGGGATGGCGAGCATCTCTGGCCAGTAGTTGAATTGGAAATCCCAGCTATCCACTGATATTATATTTGACTTGTAAGCCTGCTCACAGAGCAAAACAATAATGAAAATTTTTGGTATAGCTGTTCATTAGTTATGAACTCTATTCTTATTACAATAACAGGATAATCAGATTGGCCATTTTGGAAAACTAGTTGACAAGAGGATATCGAATAAAATGCCATGTGGAAAATTGATAGAAAGAAGCTTTAGGAAAAATAGATCATTAAAAATTATTAGAAGACACTGAAATATTATTTGGAACAATTTAATAAGGGTTGATAGCAGCAGGAACACAGTGGTTCCATTGAGAGGATTACTTCTTTTGATCATCACCTTAAATAGTTCTCTGGTGTGTTTATCCTTCCTAAGAGTGACAAGGGCTTCAGATGGCTGCCAGGTACTATTCAAGTCAAACCTACAGTCTTTCCTTTTGATTATTTATGTTTGATTAATTTTTTTTGCTCACTAGTTTTGATAATGAATAAATTGTCTTTATTGATTCAGTTAAGTGATTTTTTTTCTTCATTTCATTTTTGCTGTCCTACTCTTGATGCTTACAAACACTGGTTTCTTTCCATGGTTTCTCTCTGATAAGAGTGTGAGATGATGAAAGAAGAATACACAAAAGTGTTGAGTTTGGAGAATATCTGAAGTAGCTTAAATGGAGAATTTGTGAAGGGGGAGGTTGTATGAAATAAGGTCGAAAGGTAGATGGAAACAAGATTTTGGAGGACCTTCACACTCCCTAAAATGTTTGGATTTTATCCTTCAGTCAGTGGGCAGCATCGCAAGATTTTTGAGCAGGGCAATGCCATGGCCAAATTTTGTGTTTTAGGAAGACTATTTTGACAGCTTTGAGGAAGAGTGATCATAGTATCAGAGAGAATGGGATTAGAAAATTCAACTAGAAGGCTATGAAATCTCAAGCAAATATTGATTAGTGCCTGAATTGAGGTGGTGGCTATGTGAGTGTAATAGATATGTTATGGAGGTAGAAATAACAAAACTTGTCAAATGATTGGATATAGACATTGAGGGAGAGGGAAGAGTCTAGCATAACTCTCAGATTTTGAATGTGGGTGACTGGAATGATGAAGGTTCTTACCACAGAAACAAGGTGGTTGGGAGATGGGGAAAGAAACACTAAATTGTCTTTGACATACTGAGTTTGAAATGCTTATGAGAAATCCATGAGGAGATGGCAGTGAGGTGTAGTAGCTAGGGGACTGCATTTGGAGTCCTGAACTCAAATACCGCCTCGGATACTTGCAGCTCTGTCATGAAGGATGTCCCTTAATCTCTCTGTGCCTCATTTAACCTCATCTATAAAAAGAGGGGCTTGGCCTTGGCTTTTAAGGTTCCTGCCAGAACTGAAGATAGCAATTAGGGCTGAACATATATAGATTTTATGTCATTTAGAAATATTACTTGATCATATGAGAACTGATGAGATAGCTAAGAGAACACACATTGATAAAAGAAACAGCTCAGAACAGTCCTGGCAAACACTCATGTTAAGAGAGGAGAGCACTTAATGCTGAAAAAAGAGTATTTTTAACTAGATTGAAATGTAAAAATTAAATATGTGGGCTAGACCTTACTGAAAAAGAAAGTGACTCTCTGGTTATGTCAGGTACTATTAGAAATGTTCAAGTATATATTTAGCACCCAGTAACAACACTTTTTAGTGTGACAGTAGGGTATGGTGGAAAGAGAACTAGACTTTAAAGTTGGGAGACATGAATTCAGTTCTCAGAATGTGACCGTAGTTTGTCCCCTTGTAAAAGGCACACTGCAAAATGAGATGAAATCAAAGATGAGATTCTCATACATCTAGTTTCCTGATTTGTAAAAAGGGGATCATAAGAACCATTCTTGTTTTCTCATAGGATGAGATAATGTATGCAAAGTGAATTGTCAAGTGTAAAGCTTTATAAAAATGTAAAGTGGTGATGCTTTGATTTTTATTATCATAATTTAATGATACTTTCATATTTAATGTACTTTATCCTGAAAGTAGCTTAATTGATCAGTATCTTACTTATGAGGTGAGGTTTTTCCAGAGAGAATATTTTAAGGAGCATTTAGTATTTAATTTCAGTATCAAGATTTACGTTTCCATTTTTTAAAAAAAATCCTAACTTCTCTATTTATTCTTGCCTTTCTAGTGATATGCAGCTTTCGTGGATCCGTACCTCAAGGCTTAGTCCTGGAAATAGGAGAAACTGTTCAGATTCTGGAAAAATGTGAAGGTTAGTATGGTGGAATGAGAAGAAAGTGTGTGAACAGGATCTATTTTCAGTCATCATGAAGTTACATTTTTTTGTAGACTATCTCCACTAAAGTCCTCTGACACTTTCTGGTGGCGTAGAGGCTTTTTCAAGTTCCATGCCATTATGTTCTTTCTCTTCATTCTAATCTGAACAAGCTTTACCCATTCAGGCAGGACCCAGTGACATACTTTACACATCTTTTCTGAGCACTAGCCTCACTAAGGTCAGAGAGGTTGGTCACCATTTTGGTGTCACTATAGTGACATTTTCAGCTATAGAAACTCTTAAAAACCTCTACTGAGTCAGAAAACAGTTGTAATCCGTGTCTGTAGAGGGAGTACCACATCAATGAAAGGACAGATCATTTAACTATTGAAAAAGACTAACAGATTTTGAGCAATCATTTTGAAACCTTGAAACATCAGATCATCAAAATATTTAGACAAATTCCATCCTGACCCACTTTCAGGGGGGAAAAAAGCTCAAGCACTACTGATACTAATCTAGTGTTAAAGAAGGCCATGGGTCAGGATTTTTAAGTTAACCATCTGTTGGAACCCGATTTTTACATTCTATCCAAATGTAGTTTTTTTTTTTAATTACTCTTAATTAAGTTCAACTAAACATCCATTATTTCAGATATGTTTGGCTAATAGTAGATTTGTATGGCACTTGGAAAACTAATTGGGTGTGTTTAAAGAACTGTGAGGACTTTATGCTTTCTAGCAAATTCATTTGTAGATCCTTGTTTGGCCAATGTGCCTGTCATAAAGGCTAACCTATATATAATTTGAAATGGATTGCTTTGATGACATTCTTTCTTTGAACATGACAATGTGTAGGCAGTTTTACATGGAGAATTAAAAGACCAATATGTCTATGAAGCATATGGTTATATGGTTATATAGAAATTACATTCGATGTATCATTTGTCAGGGATGTTTTAGGTAGGATTATTATTGAAGGCTAAGAATAGGACTTCCTGACCTTTTACGGTCGCTTTTTATTCAGTTTTTCTATGATTTCATGTTGAAAGGTGAAAAAGGAATCCATGTGTAACACAATTTTAGTTGTGATTGAAGTTCATATATCTGAAATCTCTGAAGTATAATTATATTTTTATGCAACAAACTTTCAATGATCCATGTTAGGAAGAAGTAGGGGAGAAAATCTGTGTTTGTCTAAAAGTATTTATATTTTGAATCTTTTATGAGTTGAATAATATATTTGCAGTAGATTTCACTTTCAAAATAGTTATCTTTAAATCATTATTTTAATTTTCATTTGTTAAATACTCCTAAGTGATGGTGAGAGAAGTACCCCAGAATGAGTTGCTGGGTGGCACAGGCAAGCTAAGTTGACTTTTAAAATGTCCTGAAGGATTACACAGGAAGTAGATAATCCATATTTAGGTAATTGAAAATTGAATATAGCTCCAGATAAGATTATTTTCTCAGAGATACAAGCTATTGCTAAGTACAAATCTCTATTGCATGAGTGATAAGGCCTGAAATTTTGTGTTATTTCTCATCTCAAGGTTCCTTGGTTATTTTTTGGAAAGGGACCTAAATAGAATGTTGTAAAGTCCATACCTTTTAAAAAATGTACCTTTTAAAAATGCAACTGTTAATATAAAAGTATTTTTATTGCTAACTGTTTCTAAATTATTCTTTAAGTGTTTGTTAATTTCTACAAGTATTGTAAATAGGAGAAATTCCATTTCAGGGATTGAAAATGCAATATGGTACATTTAAGTTATCTTCCCAGAAATATTCATGATAGGATTTGGATTAGAGTTTAAAATGTGTTGCCAGTAGTTGCAGGTTCTAGAAATCATAGATGCATAGATCTAAAAGGGATTTTGAGAAATAATTCTTTTTTCTGTTCCTTATTTCTGATAGTATAGTTACATGGAAACCATCATGGGAAAAAAGTTGCCTGAAATCTAATCCACAATCCTCCTAATGGAATTTGAATTCATTTCCTGTTGTCCAGAGTATGATGGGAATTAATTGTTGCTTTGGAGGTCTATTACTAAGTTCCCTCAGTCTTCTTCATTCTAAATAAATTCACTTAATTCAGCCCTTATTCAAGTGCTATTTCTTAAGCCTATAATAATTTTTCCAGTTTCCCTTTCAGCCATCTCTAAACCTTCTCTAGCTAAATGATAATTCTCTACTAATTCAAAGCAATGTTCTGATTAAATGTATAATATTGTTCCTTTATACAGTGGACATCTTAGATGTTTATAAAAAAAGTATATCTCATTTAAAATAAGGACTCTTCTCTACATTTTTAAATGCAGGACTTGAATTACATTATAAAATTAAAATACATATAATTAACATCAAGCTCTGTATTTCCTATTTTCAGACTCACCAATTTAAATTTAGTATCCCATGAATTTGGTAAATCACTAATGTTATCATTCATATACCAAAATCCATCCTGCTGTTGACATATCATTAACTAATAGGTTAAGTATATTTTAATCATATTATTGTAGTGCTAATGGGACCATTGAAATCATGCAGTTTAGACCCCTCATTTTACAGACGCAGAAGTTGTGCCCTGTGGAGGTTATGTTAACAAATCTAGTCAAAGCTGGACTAGAATTCAAATCTCCTGATACTCTGCTTAATATTTTAATGGCATTTCAAAACATTCTTGATGTTTCTCAGATAATGAGATTAACAGTGAAAAGTTTCAAAGATTGAATTCTAATAACTAGGACATCCTGCCTAAGATGCTTAATAACTAATATGCCATATATAATAAAAGTCTATGCTCTATATCACATTCCAAACCCAAGGCCATTGGCTGAACTAAATTCAAGAAACTCAGATCATAATCTTAGATATCATGTCAAGGATCCCCACAGCATATAATTCCTTACAATATGACAATAGTCTACAAAGCACAAAAGACTTAATTTCTAATCTTTGATCAATGCAACTCACGTACATAGATTTAGAACACTGTAGCCCATGTTAGGTAACCATATGATCAAATGTTCTTCTAGCTTATTTAGAGGAGAAAACCAAAAAAGAAAAAAAGGAAAAACTCATCCTCAGGAATTGTTTTTTATTTCTTGTTTTCAAATATCCTATACATCTCAGAATTTGGAGAAGGGAAAAAAAAGCTTTCTATCAAACTCAACCCTGATAGTCAAAAAAAATTTTAAAAAAGGAAATCAACCATTTTCTGAAATTATTCATTCCATTTCTCAATTCTGAATGTTTTCATTGGCTGTCTCCCATGCCTGGAATCTTCTCCCTTCTTACCTGTGCTTCCTAACTTCCTTGGCTTCCTTCAAGTTTCAGCAAAATTCCCACCTTCTGAAAGAATCCTTTCCCAGTCTTTCTTAATCTTAGTGCCTTCTCTTTGGGACTGCCTCCGATTCATACTCTATTCGTGTGTGTGTACATACAGAGAGGGAGAGCGAGCTTGTTTGTACGTAGTTGTTTGTATGTCATTTCCCCCATCAGACTGTGAGCTCCTTTGTATCTCCAACATTTAATACAGTGCTGCCTGCCACATAGAAGGCACTTATAATACTATAATTATATATATATATATAGTTATAAAAATAAATACTAGCTGACTGACAGACTAAATAAAGTCATAGACATTTCATTCTGAACTCCTGAATTATATGAATTCTCTTTTGAAGGTCTTTATCAGAGCTATGTAATGGGGAATTCTCATTGATGATAAGGTCTGAGGGAGGGGAAGGATCAAATAGGCATTGCGGATAGAGAACTGACCTAGCACTAGGAGACCTGGGTTCAGGTCCCACCTGTGAAACACATTTGTTCTGTGACAGGAGAAGCTTCTTGCAGATGCTTGAGTGACTCGCTGAGGAAGCCTTTCCTGATCCCTCTTAACTCTAGAGCCTTTCCTCTGTTAATTATTTTCAGTTTGTCCTTTATATGATGTGTTTGTACTGTTGTTGTTCAGTCATTTCAGTCATGTCCAGCTCTCCGTGACTCCATTTTGGAGTTTTCTTGGCAAAGATACTGCAATGACTTGCCATTTCCCTCCTGTGTTTATATTAGCTGTTTTCATATCGTTTCTGGCAGTAGATTGGGAGATCCTCAAGGGTAGGGGTGTTTACCCTTCTTTGTATGCCCAGATGTGCCTAAAACACAGTATAGAGTATTAATATTTTTTTCTTTGACACACCCCTGTTCCTAGTTTCCATATTTCTTTTGAAAATACCATCATCCTTCCATTGACCTAAGTTCACAACCTTGAGCCATGTTCAACTGTTTATTCTTCCTCAATTCACCTATCTAATTAGCTATCCAGTATTTGTCATTGTACCTCCATAGCATTTTTGTATTAATCACATGTTCTCTACTTTTATCACAACCATCCTAGTTCAGGCCCTCATCATACCTTATGTGACATGGTCAGACCTGTGCTTTAGGAAGATCATTTTGGCAATTGTGGAGGATGAGCTGAAGTAGAGAGAGACTGGAGTGAGGGAGACCAACCAGGGGGCTATAGTAATGGTCCAGATGTGAGGCTATAAGGGCTAGCAACAGGGTGGCATCTGCGTGAGTGGAGAGAAGAGGATGAATAGAAGAGATGTTGTGAAGGTAAGTAAGATTTGGCAATAGATTAGATATGTGAGGTGAGAGTAGTCATGAGGAATTGAGGATGTCACCAAGACTGTAAGCCTAGGTAGCCATGGTGGTGGTGGTGGTGATGTCTTCTACAGTAGTAGGGAATTTTGGCAGATGGGAAGGTTTTAGGGGAAAGAATGATGAGTTCTGTTTTGGACATCCTTGAGACGTCTATAGGACATGCAATTTGAGATATCTAGTAGGCAGTTGGTGATATCAGATTAAAAATCAGGAGAGAGATTAGGGCTAGATAAATACATCTAAGAATCATCTGTGTAGAGATGATTACTGGGCCTGTGGGAGTTGACAAAATCACAAAACAGGGTAGTGTGGAGGCAGAAGAGAAGA